ATACTGTTGCATCTTTTCTTATGTATGAATAGACAAAATGATACAATGGGTTCGCCTCTTTCTTTTTGTTCTCTTCATTTATTTAAACTTGTTTCTCATTCTTTTCTTGAATAAATAAAGCTTATAATAACTACTAATCACTTTCTACTTAACACCGTTTTGTTTATGTTACATTCGGCATTAAACTTGATTAGGCTTGGAAAAGGTTAAAATAATTACATTATTGTTCAAAATATTACAGTTACGCTTATTCAGTTTCTGCTTCAGCTACCAATACAAAGCTAGTTTCATCAACAAGGTTCAAGCAAGTATAAATATCCTTTCTCAGCTTGACAAAAATATTATACAGACGTATTGAACCTTTTCAGCATAATGTTCGTCGTACTTGAAACAGGTCTCTTTCTCTTCATATTTATAGAAAAATCCAGAAAAATATTACCTAATAGAATGCATAAAAGCAAATTACGTTATGCAACGTTAGCAATGGTCATATTATAAGTTGAAAGAATCTTCATCAACGACAGCAAACTTGAAAACTTTAGTAACATCTCGTTACAGCGTCAAAAACTGAATTGACTAACTCGTGCTCAGACGTTTTGTACAACTTTAACTTTTCAGCAAAAATCTCGGTAGAAAAACTCGAAATACGTGAAATAACCAAATTTTTCTACCGAGATTTTTGCTGAAAAGTTAAAGTTGTACAACCAAACCCTATAAGATGAAGATCGAAAATATGTATTTACCAGAGGAGGAAGTGTTTGTTATAAAACAGTAGATCAAGGCATCGTATTTATTAATTCATACGATGATATTCAACGATATCTATATGGATAATTGAATTTATTGTCTTGAAAACTCTCAAAGGTATTGTAACCTTCTTGACTGTCTGGGTCATATTGACCGTATATTTCATTTTTTCAATTCTGTTCTTCTGATCTGTTCTTCTTGCAGTTGAAATGGTATAGACATTTTGACAGTTCTGCTTCTTTTTTGTCCATAGACTATTACGTAGATATGTGTAGAGAGACATGCGATCATATGACTTCAAATCTATTTTATTCCTTCCTTTCCCGACCTAATATGTTGCGTTCTAAGACTGTAGTGTATGAGATAATTGATAATGGTTAAAACGTTCTATATTAGAAATCAGTTGCATAGCGAAACGATTCTGCTGTTGAATGTTAATAGATTACACACTATGCTAAGGTTGCAATTGCGGCAAATCGAGACTTTTCCTTTAAGTAGGTACCTGCGGCAAGCTGATGATGAGAATATAGAGTTGCAGAACATTAAGATTAAAGAGTACAAGAGGATTACAAGGATTTAGCAGACCAAAGAACAAGACGAATAGAGAGGGCAATAAGGACGAAAAAGATAATAAGGACAATAAGGACAATAAGGACAAAAAGGACAGTTAGGCTTACGTTGATCTTTACAGATGTCGGTAAATCCTTCAGATGTCTAATCGATGAGAAAGGACGTCAGAGCACTAGAGATGTGCGTGACCAATGGTTATTGGGTAAGGTTGCGAGTAGAGTCCTGCGGTAACAAAAAAATTCCAATACTTTCCCCTTACCATTACCATGGTAATGGTAAGAAGAGAATTTTAATTCTTGGTAACAGATGGTAAATGGTAACAGAATTTAAATTTCATGGTAACGGTAATGGTGATGATAACGAACACGTTTCAGATTGTATTACCGGTGTCAAAATTAAAGGGGAGTGCTCGTTTCTTGAACAACTCCGTCACCTTGATAGTTATCGAGCTGCGGTTTTCATTTTTGAAAACTAGAGCACACATTTCTGTAAGCAAAAGTGAATGTCGGAAAAATTTCTGAAACGGATTTTTCAGAGGATCTTTGGAAAACTAGCTTGGGTTTTCCAAAATTCAAGTAGGAATGTATTGATTTTTTCTCATGAACAGATAGCCCGGATGTTCTCTTCAAAATGGGAGTAAAGTGAGGCCTTGATTTTCTGCGGTTCGGGCGTTGTGTCGGATTTCCTACGAGTCCCAGGACTGGCACCCGGTGACCATTGGTAGCCTGAAAGACGGATGGACTATGAATAATCGCCCATGCTGAGTCTCGTGGCAATATTTGTTTTTAGAAAAAGTTTTAAAAATCTATCGAAATGCCAGTTTTACGAAAATTAGGATTTTCAGGCTGTTTTAACCTAATATTAAAAAATTCACTATTCAGTTAAAAAACACCAGAACGAGTTCAAAACTTCAGAATGTAGAGTATTTAAGTTATTCTATATCCTATTTATAGAAGATCTCGAAATAAATTTTAAAAAACCCTAAGGTTTTTTTTTTCTTTCTCTTCTGTGGGAATATGTTCTGTTACCATGAGAATTCGATTACCATCACCACGGCAATGATAAAACATTCATGATGATGATGATAGTAATGGTAATAGTAAAAGAAAAGATTCTATCGATGGTAACGGTATGGTAAATGGTAACAAAAAAGTCACGGTAACAGGACTCTAGTTGCGGGGTGACGGAAAAAGTTTTAAAAAATAGTGAAATGTTTTTAGTGGTAAAGTATTGGTGTTTCTGTCCTGAAACGACATCTGCTTTAGTCGTGTTTGCATGGGTCGGGGCTGTCAACGTATGACGGATAGGATTGGCTGTTTGTGATTATTAAAAGCATTTTGCGTCTGTGTCCCAGCATGTCTAACTCACCGTTATAACGGTACGCTTACAGTACTCGTTTCAGTATTTATATTAATATGGTTATGATAAGCGTTACTGTGGCTGTTATCCGTGATAGTCATGCACATCTTATTGAAGACAAATGAACAATTTCCATTTATTGTATTTTTCTAGTTTATTTAAGTAATTTAGAACGAAAAAACGGTTACACAATTTCAACACTTCACCACATATAGCAACTAAAATAAAATACACGAGATCTATAAACACACATAATGAAGAATGTACGTTCTGTTAATTTTTATTAGTTTTCTTATGCGCGATATAAGCCTAGCTAAACAGCAAAGCTTCCCTATTGGTAAACGAATTATATAGTAAACATTGGACGTATGACCATTTTTGAACAACTCGAGGAGAAAAGAGATACAGACTTGTGATTTACGGCGACCGAAAGAGAACACTTAAAGATATATTTTCATAACGAAAAAAGGTTTTTGAAAACAATTCTAGAATAGGTTTCTCAGAGGATCTTTATAAAGGCAATTTCTAAGCCAAGTATTTTACATGTCTAAAGTGCCCTTTACAAAATTCTGTCTGAGCAAAAGGTTCATTTTGTTTGGTTCGAGAGCTTCGGACGTTTATCCGAAACCCTACGACTTCTCTATTCTTCGCTCTGGAACCCTCAGAGATGCATCAAAGCACAGATTATCGACCACGCTGAATCTCTTGGCAGCGTTAGTTTCACAACAAAATGTAAGAATCAAGTAATACTGATACTAGGCGAAATAATCGATTTTTGACTATTCTCATCAAAAATTAAAATATTCATAACTCAGTCAGAATCTATCCAAGTTATCTCAATATATCAAGATATGCTCCATTTTATCCACTTAATCTAACTGATAGAAGAATAGAGAAGTCGTAGGGCTTGGGATAAACGTCCGAAGCTCTCGAACCAAACAAAACGAACCTTTTGCTCAGCTATAATTTTGTAAAAGGCACTTTAGACTATCTATCTATGAAAAGAATTCGATAGATTGCCATGTAAAATACTTGACTTAGAAATTGGCTTTACAAAGATCCTCTGAAAAACCTATTCTAGAATTGTTTTCAAAAACCGTTTTTCGTTATGAAAATATATCTTTAAGTGTCTTCTTTCAGTCGCCGTAAATCACAGGTCTGTATCTCTTTTTTTTCTCGAGTTCTTCAAAAAACGGTCACGCGCAAGGAGTTTTTAAATGAATAGTAGAAATAAGCGTGAGCCACCTGGATTCATAAGGTGTTTGCATATATTTCTTGTGTGTCCGGAAAGATGGAATCTATGGGTTGCCAGGTGCATCATTGTTTTGAAAAATTTTGAGTTATCCGTCGCTTTAAAATATTCAGTATCGAACCAATTTTCCATGAACAAATGAAGAGTGCAAGCGGCATCATACAGCATCGCGTTCGGTAATTTTCCAGGATTTCGAATTCTAATAAGGTGCCTTAATACCCGACGCATGCCTTCACTTCTAGGCATTTCATCATATCCAATAATTACTCCACAGTTAAGAAACGACGCTAAAAAGCCATAGCTTGTCCTTTTCTTTTTGTCTTGGTACTCATCCCGATAAACGTTACATGCGTCGTACGTTGGTAATGTCAACTGATCATCAATTTCATCATTTCTTCGCGCTTCTTGCATTCGACTTACATTTTGTAAATATTTACCATTATCTATAGGTTTCACCAATTGACCCTGGGTCGGAAACTCGAATGACGGTATTGGTGGTTAATGTTGGTTGCAGTACAATCTTTTTGGTGTCTCTGAATATAACAAACTTATAAAAGAGTAAAAGACAAAGTTGCTTGTAGCGAAAACTAATTACTCACCATCACTCCGTATCGGCGTCTCGAAGCACCCAGTCATAATCGGTCCAAGTGCTGGAATACCGAGATCACAAACGCCATCAAACAAGCATACTCGACATTCTGCTTTTTGATGTCCATCTGTAAGGAAGACGCTTGAACCTAATTCAGGATTACACTTTTTTGCTCTAATTCTTTTATGATGGGTCCAAAATGAGACAAAAAATTTGTATAACGGATCATTCCATTTTCGTAGAAAATTGTCTCTTTCCATTCCTAAAATAAAAACAAAGTAAAGAATGAGAACAAAAATAATAATACTCAGGAGTTTCTATGTACTATTTATCTTTACCTTCAAATGATGCTGGAATTTCGAAATATTCGTCATCATTCATCATGAAATAAAATCTTGCTATTTCAAAAACAAACCATGCATTCTGAAAGACCTTCGTATTTAGTTTTTCTTGCACGTGTTGCTCAGAATAACAACACTCTTGTATGCACTGTAGAGTATAATCATATGACCAACAAAATCCATTAAATGGAGAATGACAATGTATTAAAGCCGCTGAAAATGTAACGAAAAGATCAAAAGTTCTGATGTCACTTTTCTCTGTCTTTGTTAGGCGGATCAGAGTTATTTATCTGATTAGTAAAATGTGATTTGTCTCTGTCTATTTGAAAGATTGTAAAATGGATCGCTAACCATCTCAATTGTCGTTTCACAACCATGTTTCAACTTAATAGTTAATTTTTATCAATTACTTTTAATAATTATTATTTAATTCGAAGAATTTGTGCTTCATTTGTGTTCAAAACTTGTATTCTCTCATTTTGTATGTGACTGCTTATATCTGTTTTCACACAGCTTCGATGTCGAAATATACTGATTTTAAATTATCGTTCCATCTCAACTTCAAAAACAAGCTTTCTAATCAGACAGCATAGATTTAAAAAAATGTTTTTTATTAAAATGTACCTTTAGGTACTATAAAATGGATTGTTTACCATGTCTTTCTAATAGTTTTCAATAGATGGAAACAAATCACATTCATCTAACTGGATAAATAATTCTGAGCACCACTGTACTGAACTTGATATTCTTACTCGTCATCAAATAATTCTTTTACTCCTATATCGTAAATCGGTTTAATCTTATTATGTAACGGATTGTTACGCTTATTTTCATCTTTACCAGTAAAATTTGTTTTGCAAAAAACATTCAACGGATACATCAATATCATTCGTCCATGTCTTTTGGTGGCCGATAAAATATCATTTTTCTGTTTTTCATTCATGATTGGTGAGATATCAAATATTGTGGTGGCACCCGAAAATAGATAGGAATAATACCCCCACATATTTTTACATGTATCCAATTCAACATATAAATTTGGCAAAGTTGTTACATTTTTGTCTCCATGTGCTGGAATAAATCGATTTTTAGTTGCATCATTGACAGCGTCAATAAATGTTTGGTCGATGGAACGTTCTTCCAAATCACCATCATCAAACCGTATTAGGTACATTGTGTCATCCAGTATTGTCATTGCATTTTTAAAAATTTGATACGTCACACAATATCGCGGATAAATTTCGTGTGTTTTAGCGTACATATTTTCGATATGTTTTTTATTCGTATCTGCGAATTGTAGTAATGTATCCGAGTGATCCGCCGTTTTATTATAAAAGTAATTGAATGCACTTATTAAGTTTTGTTCGCTATTGTCACTTGCTGTGTTTGTTGTCGGTCGTTGTTGATGTGATTCAAAAAGTATTGGCGAGGGTTGATTACAGTCTAAAGGTGAGAACATGAAGAAAACAGATTGCATTTATATGTAAAATGGAATGAAAAAAAACACTCACTTTTATTAAAATGATACTACACATTTCCAAAACAATGTATAATGGTCAACAAATGCGCTAACGATGGTGTTAAGGGTGATCGCAGTCTCTGTTCTAGTTCTTCTGGACGAACTGTTAATTGTTGATTCACCCACAATTGTTGGTTATTTGTACGTTGCAACGATTGATCGTAGGTTTGATTAGTCGACATCGTGTAAGATATATTCGATGAAGAAGGATGTTGACTCTGACAACTATTTTTTGACAGAATTTGATGTTGTTGCTGCGGGACAAAACACGATGAGATCGAATGATTTTATTGGTTTAAATTCATTTGCGCATTAGACACCATTGATGGTGGTATCGGATAATGCTGATACTGCTGAGGCGGCTGTTGCAATTGTTGTGAGGAAACAAACATTTGATTTGACAGTGTCTGTTCACATGGATAGTAATCATTACTTAAAGTCGAATTCTGCGTTACTTGTCCAGTGAGAGCCTCATCATTTTGAGAATATAAGGTACCAAAGGCATCAGAATACATTACAGACGTACTATGGCCTTGTGGGGCGGCCATCCCCGTTAGATCTTTGAGAATTGAACTAGGCACGTTAAATCCGGTTTTTACAACAAAGGGTGAAAAGACAAGAAAAACGTAACAAAAAAAAGTCAATGTGTAATATGTATAATATGTAGATAGAAAGAAAGAAACAAAGAGACACGTCTTAACTGTATCAAAATGAAAGAAGAAATGATTTGAGGAATTATTTGATATTCTTCCACAGCTCAATCTCTCTTTTATACATGTATAATCGAGAGATTGTGCAGGGAGATTTGTTAACTGCAGTTAACAAATCTCCCTGCACAACCGATTTATCAGTCATCTAAAAAAACGACACGTCCAGTCAGTATATGAGTAGAGTTCTTAAAGAAGCGCTTCTTTTTGTTCGTAAGAATATATTACGATATTACTATTTGAAAGAAATTTTCAAAAAAATAAACATATCTCAAGCTCGACAACCTCAAATAACAAAAAGAAAGAAATTTTCTTCGGTTTTGCTTATTGCGGACCAGAATCTATCGACTTCGGCCAGAAAATAAGGAAGCTCTGTGGCAAACTTGAAAATTTTTACCACAGGCTCAGTGAAGGATAAGGAATAAAATGTACGAAACAAACTTTCTCTAGAAGCAAGCACTTTCATTCTTTTTGGTTAATTGTACAAAAAAGTTACAATTCACTCAGCTGGATCCTCTCCAATGCGGTCTTATTTAATGCCACTGTTTTAATTTAACTGTGGGTTTGATCCTTTGTAAACCATCTGGAAAAATCACTAATGGCACACTGCATACGGTTCGATTTAGTTCTGGTTGTTTGTCCAATATTGCCAAAGATTCCTGCATTAATAAACGGTAACTTGAACTGTCTTTAGCTAGAATTCTCCAAGATGTCCAATCAATTGAATGCTCCGTGTCTAATTCATGTTTTAATAACGCCGAACGGGTTTTTACACTTGAATCTGGAACTTTCTGTTCCTCTGCAGCATCTGATAGCATAGTATTCCCACTGTAACGTTATTCCTATATTTCGTTTCGAACGTCGAAGATTGCACGACGCTGTTGTTGTCGATAAATAAGACTGAGAAGACGGTATGATGTATTTTGGAGCTCCATGTTCTGAAAATCTTCGTCTTGCTTGTCTGATTGTCTTACCAATATATGATGCTTCACAATTAGAACAATTTATACAGTAAACCATGTGCGATTGTAAATCTCTGGGTATGGAATCTTTAACTGAGAAATAAGTAGACACTGATTGAAAAGGTCTCAAAATGGGTTGTACATGAATGTCAGGTTTTATTTTTTCCACTAAATTGATGATTCTTTTCCCAAGAATTTCTGTTGGTTTTCCAACGTAAAGTAAAGTGAGAAAGATTTGTTAATGAGCACCAAAGCAGAAAGGAATTGCCCCAAATGTATACCTTGTGAACACTTTGAAAGGTCAAAACAAATAGTTCTTCTTCAATAAGACAATTTGACGGTTCATTCTCTGTGATCTCGACATGTGTTTGGGACTTGCTCATTGTAAATGCATGCCGGAGTGACAGTGTCACATTCTAGTACAGATAAAACTGAATTGCACGAATGATTGAAGGTTTGGACCAATACAGTAAAGCCTCTATTTGTGGGTAGCTCTGTAAGAAGACTTTTCGATGGACTCGGACTTGGACTAGAGATTTTTTTGAAGGACTCGGACTTTGATATTTCGAGTCCGATCTATCCAAGTCTCAGTAACTTGGCTGGAAACCTTCTGTGTGTTCCGACTACATCGGTGCCTCTATTCTCAATCAGGTTTTTCGATTAGACGCGAAGAAACAGGTTTCACAAAAACAATCTATCTATTGTTAAAATATAATAAAGGTTTATTTTAGTAAATTTTTCTGTTTAAACAAGATTGATGTATTAAATGGCACAGAGAAAAAAGAGAAATAAACTATAATCATCGAAAAAGAATCTAAAAGATTTTCGGAGATTTTCATCGTAGTAAAGCGCTTTACCGTTGTGTGTGTAATGAAAATTGTCTTCCTAACATGGTAATATTGATGGTGTCGGATCCATTTGATGATAGAACTTCTTCTGTGATGAAAAATATAAATTGTAAGATAGTAACTTAATTGTTACAACAAAGGTAACACATTCAATAATGTCAAAATAAATTTTTAATTGTCTGAATTTTAGTGGATCAGCGTTAGCAATTAGTACGGAAGAACCTTGTACGGTAAATAAACCGACAATAATCAAACGAATAAAATAAAACCGTCCACCAGCTTTAATATCTAATGCATGTTTATTAAATACAGCATAACAAACGATATTAATTAATAAAAAATCACGAAGTATCCGCAATTGTTCCCGACCAAGTGTATTTTCCATCAAATTAGTTTCATCATCATTAGCAGAAAAAAATCGTCCTTGATCAATATCTCGATAAACTGTTCGTAGACCTGGTGCAGTAAAAAATAATAGTGCAATAATAAAAAATAGTGACTGACGCAATAATGAATTAGCTGCTTTATTAAAAGTCTTTTGATAATTATAAAATCGCTTAAAATTTCTATTACATAATTCCGTAGCTATTAGCAAACAACATATTCTTATTGTTAACAGTATTGATGCTGATGGAAAATTATCATTTACTCTATTGTGAGCTGAGGACAGGACACAGTTGGCAATAGACAGCGGTATTACGATATATATTTCAATAATTGATACACCAAAAGCTACCGCGCCAGACGCATAAATTATCCCAGCTATTTCATAAACCGAACATGTTGCACCAAACAGAAACCGTAGAAACGATGTTGATCGACATGTAGTCGAATGTGCTAGCATATCAATAGCACAGGCCGATATCCAAAGTGATATGGATAAACAACGAAAAAACTTCAGTCGATATGTAGCATCTATACCACCGTGCAACATTTGTTTTAACTCGTTCTTATAGTGGTACTGATTGAAGTCGATTGCTAGAAGAATACAAGTCGCCACAGAAACATTCTTTAGTTATGAGAAAGGGCGCTACAGCCTACGAAGTAAAAAAATTGACAACAGTGCGCAGCAGATATGTACTAATGTGATAGCATATATACTCATTCAGAAACACTAAACTCATATTTGTGAACTATATTGAAATTCCTTCGGATCTATGCTACAGTTTCTTTTTTTCTTACTCGAAGTTGATTTGCTATTGCTTGTGAGAGACGTCGATATACAGGTCTCCTTCTGCCAGCTACTTGTGTTTTCTGCTCCTACCTAAAAGGAATATTCAATATTAGAAAACCTTCGGTTATAATGTTATACGTACTTTGGACGATACCGCTCGTCCGACATAAGCAGAACCACGCAGTTGTTTATTTGGATCCAAAACTTCCATTAATTCTGTTGCTTCCTCACTAGGTTTTTCTTCTGAGTCTTCCATGGACCAGCCATGCGATCGATTAATTGAATCTATAAAGTATTAATGCGTCGAACAAGAGTTGATGAATGAAACATAGTTGAGATTCTAAATGTTACAAACTTATGCTTTGGAGATAGGACGAAACTAGTAGCGAATAAGGCTCAACAATACTTCAGGGCAACTAGTAGTTGTTGAAAACGAATGAAACATCAACGAACTTTCAGTGCAATTGCTAATGTCAAGCTGTTCAGCATCATCACCATCCAGTTCCAACTCATCTAGTTGTTCCTCGAGCATCATATCTTCACATGTTTTCAACTTGTGAATATCAAGTGTGATCGTTTTTTCAATCATTCGAAATACTAGAGGGCTTGATCCTGTCGGTGAAGATAGAAAACGTGGTTGAAATCTTTCGAAATAATATTCATCGAAATCCATATATCTTCTACGTATATCATCTTGTATTTGTAAAATATGCAAATTCATATCAAAACGATTGAGTCTGGATTTAACCGATGTTACAAGATCGGACAATGTAAAATTTCGTTTCAGACGAATTTCTTCCATAGCATTACCATTGAATACGATTATGTCAACCATGTCCATTGATTGCAAGTTTTTACAGAACCTATGCAATATCGGTAAAAAAACTGATTAGAATTCGTTCTACACTTTCGTGCAAATCAATAGCCTTACTTTTATTATTTACAAAAATGTTTAATTACTTACGTTTTCAAAGCTAGCTTTTCTTCCTATCGAGACTTTTCACGAAATAACTCAACTAGAGTGAGAAATAAACTTAAAAGAGAAAGAGAAAAGACATCATCTCTCTTTATGACTTCGCTTTTTTTTTTGCACAAAGGTGAGGCTGGAAAAAATTGTTGTTATTTTTCTTTTCCTGTGTCGTTGAGGTGGAATTCGTTCTTCCGTTTTCCACCCTTACTTGGTTTTTTCCACCATATGATTAGTTCTTTGAAAGAGAATGGACCTACCTTCGTTATTTCGTTCTTTTCTTCTCTTCTTCTTACCTAAATATTTTTCGGAACTTTTCGAAAAAACAAAATTAGATTTTCATATTAAGATTAGTAAATTAGTACAGAAATAAAATAAGTTTGATGCTCTTTTATTACTTATCATTACTCAAAGAGAAGAGGGCGGAATTAGAACACAAATGAAGGTTGGAAAAAACAGGCGATGAGTAATCGCTCTGGGTTTTCCTGCAAAACGCTCTGACCTTCTATCATTTAGTTTTGGTTATTAATTAGCGTCATAAATAACCAAATGCATGAAACCTAACCTGCTATTCTATAAAAACGATCACTAGTTCTTTCTACGAAAGGCGCCCACTAGTATTAAGTAGAAGCAATGAAGTAAGGTAGAAGGAGAATAGGCTATCCAGAAAGTAAGCGATTTAAGAAATTCCATTTAGATGTCATCAGTCGGGCCGTTCAGAAAACAATTTCAACATATGATAATTCACGGAGATCAAGTTAAAGAAATTGATGTTGATGAAACGGATGATTTAGTTACACTACAAGGAAAGATCATCTCGCGATTTCATCCTCAAAAGATCGATTTCGAAGTGATGCAAGCACAATGGTGGAATTCGAACCGTAAACGGTTTGTGGATTTGGATCCACAGTGTTGGAGCAAATACAAGATTTTACAGAGACGCTTGCTTTCGGATCCTCCAGTAGATCCTAGCCATCAGGCATGGGAAATAAAACTCGTGTGGAAATTTGCAACGAGTAAGTATGCTCACTGACCAGAGCTGGAACCGGTACCGGTTGAAAAAGTCAGCCGAGCCGGTAGAGAGGTGAAACCGGTTGAAACTGTTGAAACATCTGGTCTTTTTACCAAGGGGGAAAAGCATCAGTTCAACATTTCACTTCACATGAAAAGCACTTCACTTGGTATAGAGGGGGTCAAAATCAACACAATTTGTAAATGGTAGCATAGCGGCCGGTGTCTGATAGTGATGCCATCTACAAATCATGTTGATTGTGCCGCCGCCTATATGTGCTTCACTAGTTCACTTCAAACTCACCTCCACTTCACTTGAAGTGAAGTGGAGGTGGAGTGAAATGGTGCTTTTACCTCCTTGCTTTTTACCCTGTTTTTCGCCAAAAACTAAAATTTCACGTCTTGTTTAGTCAGAATAAATAAGACGATGCTCAAGACCGATATTATTTTCATCATTTATTTTAAGGTTAAAATGTTACAGACTCGTTATTGTGAAGGTTCTCTCACATGTGCTCGCAAACTATTTAATTTCTGGGGAAAATGCTTTCTGAAAATAGATCTTTAAAAAGCTTAATCGGCTTTTCGC